CAGGACCAGCCCTATGGGATGATGCTGCCCACATTCAGGGTGGGTCTTCCCTCTTCAGTTGAACCTCTCTGGAAACATCCTCACAGGCAGGCTGCCCATAGGTATGCCTCCTTAGGCAATTCAAAATCCAGTCAGGTTGACAGTTAGCTATCACACAGGGTCTCACTCTGTAGCCCAGGCTGGCTTAGAACTCTTGGAAGTCCCCCTGCCTCAGCCTCCTGAGGACTGGGGTATGCCCCACTTACTCTCCATTCTGTTCTTCCTGCACTGTGAGTTTTTAGTCTTTTCTTGGCTTAGTCACCTGTTTCTCCCTTTTGTATTTCTGACTGGAGTTCGGACTTGGTGCTATACTTTTGAAGATAGAAATCTACTTCCTAAAATTCTTTTAGCTTATTTTGTAGATAATTTCCATATGTAATTTCTTTCTCCAAACCTTCAAATCATATTTTTCTTATTATACAGGTATTCTTGTTTGTTTATCTTTGCTTTTTGATACACATGTGAATTTTACCCAGGTACAGTGTTTGGAGATGGTTTAGGCTGATTTCTGAAAACTACAGTTGAGTGGAGAATGGTCTGATGTTTCTTAGTGACCTGTTCCTGATGGGAGACTGTTGTGTTTCTGCTTCCTGGCATTAACCTCTGCATCTGCTTCCATTTCCTAGTTCTCTAGTCTTATGGTCCTCTGAACAGTGCATATGTATATCCTGCTTTCCTAAACACAGACCTACTACTTAAAGGATGAGCAAGCAACATTTCCCAGTAGTGCTGTACAGGACAGGATGCATTCCAGGCAGTGATCAGCAGAGGCAGGAGCCTGGAGGCAGAAGGCAGCATAAGCATACTTGCAAAATTGCAAATTTTTTATATGTGCGATTATTTTTGTATGCCTCTCTTAGGCAAGGCATGCAGTCATGTTATTATACAGACTTACCTTTCAGGCCTTCTCAGTCCTTCAATATTTTCCTGTGGCTCTGGCAGTCCAATATTTGCAACTGCTCACCAGGCATCTACTTGGCTCACTTGCTGTCCCACAATTTGGATATGTTAAAAGTGGGATGTACTGTCTTTTTCCCACAAAGCAAATTATCCTTTCCTGTCTCAGTGACCTCTCCAGTCTCTCAAGCTTAAAAACCTTACAGTCCTCATTGACTGGGTCTTTGCTGTGACTTTCTGGGGAAGTCTGTGTCCAGCTTCTCCATGACTCATCCCTTTCTAGGCTTATTGCCTTTTCCCTCATCCAGGACCTATGTTGAGCCTCGCTGCTGGTTTCTTTAATCGATGTTCGGATAGCTGCCAGATTTAGATTTGTGCTGTGTCTAAAGTGCTTCTTTCTTTCAGTTGCTCTTCTCTCCTGATACCTCATTACCTATAGAGAACAAAGTCTAAAATGTCCAGTGTGACTTTCTAGGCTTTTCTCACATTCCACTGTACAGATGACCTTCACCTGTGCCCGTCTTCTCACTCTGCCTTATACGTAATGCCTGATCCTGTAATAGTCATAAGTGTTAGCTGCTTTGATAGGAATTCCTTATCTGTCTCTAAGGGGGCGGGGAAAAAAATCAAACAAAAACATCAACGACCATTTTGTACCTAGTTTGCAATTTCAGATAGGATTCCACAGTTCTCTATGCCTGGGCTGTGGTGGGTGTTCTGCCCGGAGCTCCCTCCTTAATCACCTTTCTTTTCCATATTTTCTTCCCTCATGATGTAACTGATTTGCTTAGTGTGTCCCTGTTGTCTTCATTCCTAGAGTGCATATTTCTCAAAGGTGCTTAAGGTCATGTTTATGAATCTAAACACTTAATAAAGTTTGATTTGAATTTGCAGGTCCATGTGTCTCAGGAAGACAAAAGGGATATAACACTAATTCAATGATCAGTTTATGTAAAACCCAATATTTGAGCTAATTTTTCAGGTAGGCAGAAGTTAGTACTTCAATAAAGTTTCCATTTAGGCATTTCTTATTGTTCTTTGCCAAACTTGAGATACTGGTGATTATTTAATATTTTTTATGACTTAATTCATATTTGTGAGACTTACTTATTTTAGTAATCTTTGTTCTTAGACAGCTGCTCAAGGCATGTTGGGTTTATTTCTGAGTAAGTATGTCATTGTTATAATCTGTTATCTGCTGCTTCTGTTGTGGAATATCAAACTAAATCTGTGTGCTTTAACTTGGTTGGAGTTTTGTTATCGTTGTTGTTTGCTATTCCACAATTATTTGCCTGTTATAAAAATGAAGTACAGAATCTGTAGTGTCATAATAGGCTATGATCCAACCTTTGAATGAAAAAATTGTATGAATGAGGGTTCATTGATGTATGGTTATGACTTGTTTGTATTACTGTATATAAATAACTTAAACCCATTAAAAATTGGGATTGCCTTCCCCTAATAAAATATTTTAAAATAAAGCTTATTTATTATTTTTAATTTTTTTTGGAGACAAGATCTTATTGTATAGACCAGGTTGGCCTAGAATTAAGAAATCATCTGCCCTTGCCTGAGGTGTTGAATGCTAGGATCAAAGGCATGCATTACCATGCATGGCTAAAGTTTATTTTTTAACTGACACATTAAAAACACAGTGTGATGTTTCAATACATGCCTGTTTTCTGCACTTAGATTAAACATATATATCTCAGCCAGGCGTGGTGGCGCACGCCTGTAGTCCCAGCACTTGGAAGGCAGAGGCAGGTGGATCTCTGTGAGTTCAAGGCCAGCCTGGTCTACATAATGAGTTCCAGGACAGCTGGGGCTACAGGGAGACCCCCCCCCCAAAAAAATATATCAAATACTTATCACTTCTTCATAACACAAAAACATTCAAAATTCCTCCGACTTTTTGAAGTATACAGTTTACAGTAATCATCTATGTTAGTCACTCCACGGTGCAGTAGGCATGCTATTGCTGCAAAGTCTGTGCTCATTATCTCTCATTGCCTTTTGTCATATGAGACTGAGCTAACTAGACAAGAAACTTGATTGGGAGAAAGTGCAAGATGGTGGTCTGGGGAGGCCAGGAGGTTGCCTGTGTACACACAGACAAAAAGGCCAAGGGTCTGAGGACTTGGGCAGTCAGCAAGGGAGGCCAACAAGGGACAGGTTCCCAATTGGTCTTCTTAGATGTTAGGTTTTAGCCAACAGGCTGAATTAGTGACTACCAGGTAGAAGTTTTCATTTAATACCAGCCTTCTGCCTTTGAGTCTGCTGTGGTGCTGTAAGGAAAGCTAAAAAGAGCAAGGACAGAGATGGTTCTGGTCACTTAAATTGTTTTGGCAAGCTTTCCTCTTGTTTTAGCATTAGCAACTGCAGTGTTCAAACTGGAGTGGTCTCTAGAGGGCTTTCTGCAGCTATTGACAAAGGTTTCAGCCCTTATGAATGCAGCTGTTCATTAGAATCCCCCTTCGCCCTCTGGGGGAGCTGACCACACATCTCCAGCAAACAGTCCCAGTCTTCTAGTCTTCTGTAGTGTCCTTGCACTAGTAGATTTTGGTCTAACCAAATCACCTTAAATAAAAGGTCTGTCTCATGCAGCTGAGTGGCCTTTCCAAATGGCAAAGTTCCACAGACATCTGGAGCACTTAGAAGCAGACCTCCCTGCCCTTGTTTTTCCATATTTCCCAGGGTGAGTCTTGTACAATATTCACAGATACCAGTCTATGAAAAGATTAAAAAACCCAGTCCTAAGTGCTCATAGTGTGAGTTCTGAATATTCACTACTATGCTGGTCACTAATGTTTCCTATCTTATAAACGAGCTGCTCATCACAGTTATTGAGGAGCTTTGAGATTTTATTTGGCAATATTTATCATATTAGAAATCAAAACAATATTTTAGTGTTAGCTCATTTTAAAGTCATAAACCCATAAAAAGTTGCCATAAGTTATCTTATGAAAAAATATGTTTTCAAATCCAAAAAAGCTGGATTAAAAACTTAATTTCGGGGCTGGAGAGATGGTTCAGTGGTTAAGAGCACTGGCTGCTCTTGCAGAGGACCCAGGTTCGATTCCCAGCCCCCACATGGTAGCTAACAACTGTCTTAACTCCAGTTCCAGGGGATCTGATATCCTCGTCTGACCTCCACAGGCATTTCATGACACAGTTGCACTTACATGTAGGCAAAACACTCACACACATAAAATAAAAATAATAAATACAATATTCGTTAAAATACTTTACATTTTTATAAATCTCTTTAAGATCTTAGCAAAAGAGTTGGATTCTCATGTCTGCTCGGTTTAATTTGGTATAAGTTGTTTTGAAGTTACCTGAAGGAAAGCGTACCTTATACATATGTTTGGGGAAGGGAGTATTTTTATTTATTTATTCATTCATTCATTCATTCATTCATTCTTTTTTTTTTTTTTTTGGTCTTTTTGAGACAGGCTCTCCCTGTAGCCCCAGCTGGCCTGGAACTCACTATGTAGACCAGGCTGGCCTTGAACTCACTGAGATCCACCTCCCACTCTGCCTCCACTCTGCCTCCCCAGTGCTGGGGTTAAAGGCACGTACCACCACCCCAGTCTGAAAAGGAGCATTTTAATAGCTTTTTCTTTAGCATTATACCCAGTCTTAACAAATGGTATTTTCTTCAAGATTAATTATGATGTAGGATCTAAAACTACATTAATGAGCTTTTTATAACGTGTGCTCATGAGAGTGACTGTGATAAGGAAAATAACATATGGTTTGAACCTTGTGAAAGTCATGAAATACGTTACATTTGTAGATTGCAGGGGAGAGTAATTTACAGAAATTGATTCCAGAACAGTACCTGTAAGTGTGAAAACTACTTGGAAGTCTCCCTCATGAGATGATTTAATTTAGGGGACAGATGAATTGTCTGAAGGGTGAAAATCTTTTTAGAGCACTGTGTTTCTGACTCCTGATTGGACCTGACTGATAAATGTAGAGGGTTTTGTTTGTTTGTATGTTTGCTTGCTTGTTTTGTTTTTCCTGTTTGTTTCTTAACCCTGTCTTTATTTTTATTCCAGACTTACTCTGGACTCTTCTGTGTAGTCATAAATCCTTACAAGAACCTTCCAATTTATTCTGAGAATATTATTGAAATGTACAGAGGGAAGAAACGTCATGAGATGCCTCCACACATCTATGCCATATCTGAATCTGCTTACAGATGCATGCTTCAAGGTAAACGGAAATATCAAAACTATAAATATTCAGAATTTCTTAGATGCCATTTAATCTTTTTTATTGTCTTAATCTGATCTACAAAAGATTTTAATTTTCCTTTAAATGATTTCAGTGTTAAAAAAATTTAAAGGTGGTGGTATACACCTTTAATCCCAGCACTTGAGAGGCAGAGGCAGGTGGGTCACAGTGAGTTCCAGGCCAGCCAGGGCTACATAATGAGACTCTGTTCTCCCCTTCTCCCTGAAAAAAATTGAAGTAATGTTTATTGTAGAAAAGTTACTAATTTTTAAGATTAAAATAGATTATATGGCCATTCTCTATAGGAAGCAAGAAAACATATTTGTTGCTTTATAATGGTGATACTTAATGTAAAATTTTATATTAAAAGTGCATCTAGCTTTTTTTTTTTTTTTTGGTCTTTTTGAGACAGGGTCTCCCTGTAGCCCCAGCTGTCCTGGAACTCACTATGTAGACCAGGCTGGCCTTGAACTCACAGAGATCCGCCTGCCTCTGCCTCCTGAGTACTGGGACTAAAGGCGTGCGCACCACACCCAGCACATCTAGCTTTTAATACCACAAGTTAGTACAACTAGCAGTCAATTTATTTGGTTTTAAAATCAATAGGAGGTGGTTAGGAATGTGGGACAGTGGTAGAACATTTGCTTAGCACCCTGGGGTTCAAGTCATAGCACTGCAAAGGTAATATAAAATAAAGCCTGCAGACCTGGGAGCACAGGTCTGTAATCCCAGCCACTCTGAAGACAGAGACAGGAGGATCATATGTTCAGCATCTGCCTCATTACAGAGTGAGTACAAGGCTAGCCTGAACAGTTCAGTGTGACACTATCTCAAAATAAAAATGTGGAAAAAAGGGCTGATGATATAACTCAGGCATAGGTAGCATATTTGCCTATCATGGATAAGGTCCTGAGTTCAAACTGAAGCACTGCCAAATAAATAAAAGCTACTAAGACGAATGATAGGAAAGGTGGGTGTATCCTTGAGTAAGGGGAAGTTATAGAAACTTTTTGAAATGTTTATTATTTTAATTTTTTATGTGTATGAGTGTATTGCCTACATGTGTATAAGTGCACCCATGTCCTGCAGTGCCTGAGGAGGTCAGAAGATGGCATCAGATTTCCCTAGAACTGGAGTTACAGATGGTTGTTAGCTGCTATGTGGATACTGGAAATTGAACCCAAGTCCTCTGCAAGAGCAGCCAGTGCTCTTAACCACTGAGCCATCTCTCCAGCCTGGAAATTATAAATCATACTTGTGGTTTAAATGCATGTAAAAAGAGACATCAAAAGTTAAAAAATGTGTTCAGTGATTGATATTGATTGCTTTCTTTTGGATCAGAGTGAATTATGAATTTGATGAGTCCTTCATTTGAACCCCAACCCCCCCCTTGAAGATTTTTTTTTATTTTAATTTATTTTAATTTTATGTGTATAAGTGTTTTGCCTGCATGTGTATAAGTGCACCTGTGGCGTGCATTGTCCTTGGAGGTCAGAAGAGGGTGTTACATCCCCTGAAACTGGAGTTAAGGATGGTTGTTAGCTGACATGCGGGTACTAGAAACAAATCCGGGTCCTCTGGAAGAGCTGCTAGTGTTGTTAAGCCCTGAGCCATCTCTCCAGCCCCTTTTATTTTTATTTTTTATATGTTTTTAATAGAATTTTTGTGTATTTCATACACATCTTAATCATCTTTATGCCCCCTCCCCCGTCCACACCTTCCCATAAATCCCTCACCAAATTTCATACATTCTGTCATTTATCTTAAGACCTATCGAGTCAAGTTAGTGTACCCAAACATCCCTCAATGCAAGGTCATCCACTAGAGTCTAGCCAACCTATCTAGAGTCACTCCCTTAAATATCAGCTCTTCCTTACCTAGCAATAATCAGGTGTCAATAGTTCTTTGACTAAGATTGGGGCCCATTTCCCCAGTTCTACGCTGGGTTTTTCTCTGGGTTTGCATGCGTCTTATACATGTTGACAACATTGCTATAGGTTCATATGATCAAGGTCCCAGGAGCCTGTAACAAGACTCTCATTTCCATATGGCCATGTACCTCTTCCCCTGGCTCTTAAAATCTTTCCTCCCCCTCTTCTGCAGTGGTCTCTCAGCCCTGGGTGGGCAAAATTTAATATAGGAGTCCTGTCCAAGGATCCATACTCTGCACTTAGTCTCTACGCTTTGGCCATTTGGGGCCTTTTGTGATCATTGCCCTCTGTTGCATGAGGGAGCTTTGCTGATGAGAACTGAGTGATGCATTAGTATTCTTTCTACTGTTGTTGAACTATGTTCCTTAGGTGTAGAGGTTCCATTTTAGATGTGTCACTTAGGGCTTGGCATTTCACAGACACTTATTCTCTGTGTTGTAGAGCTCTGTAATAGTCTCCATCTTTTGCAAAGAAGCCTTTTTGATGAATGGTGACTGCTATACTTATCTGTAAATATAAGGATCCATATTTGGCACTTAGTAAGAAATTACATTTGTCTAGGGATGTGATAGCCATAGGGTTTTCTCTAAGATCTATGACCTCTCTAGCCATATGTATTTGACTGTGTTTATAGTATCACATATGAGTTCCCTCCCATTGAGTGGGCTTTAAGTTCAATTATGTAGTTATTGATTCCCCCAAGATAAAAGTGACACTACTGCCCCAATATAGTTTGCTGTGCTGGTCATTAGGCCTTAAAGCTGGGATTGGACTATCAATTGATATTTTCCCTTAGCAGCTTGCATAGTCGACTCCAAAACTATGAGAGCTAGCCTTCAGGGAGCCCCCTTTTATTTTTATTTATTTAAATATTTTATTTATTATTTTTATTTTATGTGTATGAGTTCTGTTGAACCAGCTAGCTTTTGAAACAGTATTTCACAAATTCTCTTGGAGTACCCTTCCATATTGCCGGTCCACCCAGAAAGACTCTTTAATCTGCTTGCTTCCATGTGGATCTTCCTGTGGATCCTTTGTGTGTTTGTCTTGGTATATTACCAATACTTTCTTTTTTAAAATTTATCATTTTTATTTTATGTGTATGTGTGTATTGCCTGCATGTAAGACCAATACTGTCTTCCTCACGTAGCATCAAGTTCATAGTCTCTCATTTTAACAGTCATCTGCCCATATCCTAGCCCCCTTGTCCTATTAGTCTTATATACCTATTTGGTGAAATTCTCTTGTGGGTTGAATGGAGCTGTTTGTCTCTCGTAGTATTCTTTCTTGGGGAGCCGATTCATCTAGAGTTTTGTTCACACAAGTGAACAGATTGCTCCTGCTATAATCTTATGACCACAGGCCTTGACTCTACCCTTAGCAGGACTTCCTAGTCCTACCTGGAGAGTACGGTGATTGTCCCCCTCTCCATAATGACTGTCTGGGGTTCTGTGTGCTTCAGGCCTCTGGATACATTCCTCAGCTTCCCAGCTGGCTATCTAGTTCTCATTTCAGAGAAATTAGAAGTCACTGGAGAACTGTCCCTGCTTCCCAAACCAGATTTACAAACCATCTCTCATTGTGTTCATTGCTATCTTAATGCTAGTCTTGCCAGTTCCTTCACCTGTGAGATTGACCCTTTCTCTCCAGGAATCTCATACTGTCAATTATTATGAAATTCACTGTGTCTTCTACCTTGCTTTTGATAGCTTCCTAATATTAGCATTAAGTTTGCTAATCTTTCTCATTGCTTTAAAATAGTTTTTCCCCTTCCTTTTACAGCCAGCTTTTTGAAACACTCTTTGAGTAGGTAGGCAGGCAGGTTCATGGTAGAAACTTGAAAATGCTGTTTTCTAAGGTACCTTAAGAGCAATGTTTCAGTTGAGAGAATGAGGAAGGAAAGATCTCTTGGAGATACAGTAAGACAGGATCATCTAGGAGAGACATAATACGTGTTTACACTGTTGTCATTGGGATACTTAAACCATTATCTATTGGGAATACAGAGGGAATGGGAACCAAAAGTGTAGAGGGAGATTTCACATGCTTCCCAGAATTCAGCATATTAAGTAAACAAATATACAGAGTGTGATTGAATACAGTTCAGCAAGCTGGGATTGAAAAATGTATGTATAAGACAACTGCAAGCTGAAACACATTTGCAAGCGCAGAATGCACCCTGAAGCAGGCCACAAGTAAAAATCTCAGTTCCTAAAAGAAGAAATCATCAGTCGCATTCTCCAACCACAGTATGATGAGACATTGTGTTAATACTGAAAGACTGAAGTGGGTTGGTTTTTGCGGGCATGTGTTTAATGAGTTCGTCTGTATGGGGTTTTGATTAAAGAGGAAATCAGAAAGTGTATCGCCAATTCTTGAGAAATTAACCACAACAAAATATCACATACAAGAAAATGTATGAGTTGTGGCAAAAGTCAGTTTAAGAAACATTTATAGCTAGAATTTTTAAATTAATAAACAAAAATTTGTCACAGGATTAGGCATTTTACTCAGGAAGGCAGACAAAAGATATTTTATGATCATTTGTAGAGCCAGGCACTGTCTCATGAGGTTTTTTTTCCTGCTCCATTCACAATAAAAAAGCAATAAAATGAACCAAAACAAAAGGGAAAATGTTTAAAAAGATTAATAGATTGGAGCAGAGTACATTCTGTTGCTGAACTATTAATAAAACTAAGTTAACTTCCTGAAAGTACTATAAACCTGACAGATGCTTAGCAAGGATGCTCAAGAAAAGCCACCAGGAACCATGAAGGTTATGACTCCATAAGTAAGAGCAGGCTGACTCCAAATGAACTTGGCCAGATTGCCCATTGTGGGTGTTGAAGGGGCTGGGAAATTGAAAAGACACACCTTCCTATTTAAAACACAAGGCCTGAACAGTAAATGTGAAGCCTGGCTGATGCCTGCAATTTGAATGGATTTAGACCACTAAGCAATGCAGAATAAGGTATGTAGTCTCAAGATTAGAATTTCTCAAGGAAGTTTGAATACTTGAATTTTTTCACTTTATATTAAAATAAAATA